CCCCCGGGTACTGGTGACCCCAAGTGTTGGTGGCCCTGGTGCTGGTGGCCCATGGGTATTGGTGGCCCCAGGTGTTGGTGGCCCTCAGGTACTGGGGACCCCAAGTGTTGGTGGCCCCCGGTGCTGGTGGCCGCGGTGCCATCGCGTCGGGTGCCAGGGCTCTGAGCGCGCCCGCTCCCCGCAGTCCTTCCTCTACCTCACCTGGTACATGGCCATGTCCCTGCTGGGCCACTACAACAACTTCTTCTTCGCCTCCCACCTCCTGGACATCGCCATGGGGGTGAAGACCCTGCGCACCATCCTGTCCTCCGTCACCCACAACGGCAAGCAGGTGAGTGGGGACACCCAGGTCCCCGGATTGTCCCCGTGGGACCCTGTCACCCACCGCGTCCCGCTCCCGCAGCTGGCCATGACCGTGGGGCTGCTGGCCGTGGTCGTCTACCTCTACACCGTGGTGGCCTTCAACTTCTTCCGCAAGTTCTACAACAAGAGCGAGGACGAGGACGAGCCCGACATGAAGTGTGACGACATGATGACGGTCCGCGGGGCTCTGAGGGGACAACGGGGAGGGGACCCCGCTGGTGTCCCCGGCGGCGCTGAGCCCTCCTGTCCCCCTTGTCCCCAGTGCTACCTGTTCCACATGTACGTGGGCGTGCGGGCCGGGGGTGGCATCGGGGACGAGATCGAGGACCCGGCGGGGGACGAGTACGAGCTCTACCGCATCGTCTTCGACATCACCTTCTTCTTCTTCGTCATCATCATCCTCCTGGCCATCATCCAGGGTGGGCAGCCCCCTGGATTCCTCATGGGGGGCGGAATTGGGGGGTCTCCAGCCCCATTGACACCCCTGTCCCCCCCCAGGTCTCATCATCGACGCCTTCGGGGAGCTGCGGGACCAGCAGGAGCAGGTCAAGGAGGACATGGAGGTGAGCGCCAATGCCCGGACACGGGGGACAAGGGGGTCCCCAACACCCCCCATCGTGTCCCCATGTCCCCCCCAGACCAAGTGTTTCATCTGCGGCATCGGGAGCGACTACTTCGACACGACGCCCCACGGCTTCGAGACCCACACGTTGGAGGAGCACAACTTGGCCAACTACATGTGAGGGGGACCCAAGGGACCGGGGGCGCCCCCTAAAAATATATATATGACCGTTGTCCCTCTGTGTCCCAGGTTCTTCCTGATGTATCTGATCAACAAGGACGAGACGGAGCACACGGGGCAGGAATCCTACGTCTGGAAGATGTACCAGGAACGCTGCTGGGATTTCTTCCCGGCCGGCGACTGCTTCCGCAAGCAGTACGAGGACCAGCTGGGCTAGCGGGGACGTCCCCGGGGCCACCGCGCTGCCCTGGCCCCCCAGTGCCCCCCTGGGGTGACGGCGACTCGGTGTCACCCCGCGATTTGGGGGACACCCCCCCCCCAGCTCCCTCTCTAAGTGCCTTTCCCCCCCACTGCTGCCCCAGCCAGGGGTTCCCCACAGTTGGGGGTCCCCACATTGGAAGGAGACCCCCCATTGGGGGTTCCTCACATTTGGGGGTCCCCACATTGAAGGAGGACCCCACATTGGGGGTTCCTCACATTTGGGGGTCCCCACATTGAAGGAGGACCCCACATTGGGGGTTCCTCACATTTGGGGGTCCCCACATTGAAGGAGGACCCCACATTGGGGGTTCCTCACATTTGGGGGTCCCCACATTGAAGGAGGACCCCACATTGGGGGTTCCTCACATTTGGGGGTCCCCACATTGAAGGAGGACCCCACATTGGGGGTTCCTCACATTTGGGGGTCCCCACATTGAAGGAGGACCCCACATTGGGGGTTCCTCACATTTGGGGGTCCCCACATTGAAGGAGGACCCCACATTGGGGGTTCCTCACATTTGGGGGTCCCCACATTGAAGGAGGACCCCACATTGGGGGTTCCTCACATTTGGGGGTCCCCACATTGAAGGAGGACCCCACATTGGGGGTTCCTCACATTTGGGGGTCCCCACATTGAAGGAGGACCCCACATTGGGGGTTCCTCACATTTGGGGGTCCCCACATTGAAGGAGGACCCCACATTGGGGGTTCCTCACATTTGGGGGTCCCCACATTGAAGGAGGACCCCACATTGGGGGTTCCTCACATTTGGGGGTCCCCACATTGAAGGAGGACCCCACATTGGGGGTTCCTCACATTTGGGGGTCCCCACATTGAAGGAGGACCCCACATTGGGGGTTCCTCACATTTGGGGGTCCCCACATTGAAGGAGGACCCCACATTGGGGGTTCCCCACATTTAGGGGTCCCCACATTGGGGGGGACCCCCCTGCCCCCTCAATAAACACTGGCTCCCGATGCTGTTGCCCATCTCCTTGGCCGCCCGGACGCCTGGGCCCCCCACGGCAGCGCAGACGCAGCAGCTTGGTGGAGGGTGGGGGGGGCTCCTCAGTTTAATTGGGTGCAAATAATTAACAGCTGCCG